TTTATAAAAAGTATCTCTTCGGAGATCCTGTCTTGTCAAATGCTTATAAGAGGGCGTTATCACATTGACCTCTGCTTTCAAGAACTAGCACTGTCCACCTACACATGCGCATGAATGTGAAGCATTAGATGCTTTAATCGGATTTGAATTCCAACAAAGCCTCAATGGCCACATTGGTTAAGGCGTCTGCATAGACAGCAGAAGGTCCCTGGTTCGAATTCCTATTGCAGCATCCATTTCTTCACTCGCAGAGACCTCTCCTTAAACGTTCCAAATTTATTTAAAGCATTATCGGAAGACGGTTTAGACTCTATCTATTTAAATCATGATTTATATATATATATATAAATATATATATATATAATATTTATATACCATATATATAGTCCTATACAAAGCCAATATAATGCATATGTGTGTAAATATACATAGGGCCTTGGCCTTATTATGTGAGTATAGCCAATATGTATGTAGGTAGTAATTACCAAAGTAGGCCTAATAACAGTACTGATAATGACAGAGTTTTTTTAAGTCAATGGGAGACCCTCCATTTTGACACATGTACGTTCTGCAGGTGTCGTATTTTCGCTGACATTATTCGAAGCCATACAAAACCAATTAGAGTACAAATGATACACTCAATATAGAATCCGTCAATATCTGTCTTGCATGTGCCGCCAATTTCCAAACAAGCCTGCAAGAAAAAAATCGTATTGTGGTGTACATTATTAACATCGAAAGGTCCACTGATTAATCTCAGATAAGATAGTATAAATACATACTCTGAGTATCGAAATGTACGCCATAGAGACCTAGTTTATTTGCGCTATATAAATCCATCTATTATTATTATTATCACCAGAAATCATCATTCCTGATGATGACATAATTAATGTCGAAACGTAGCTCATACAGCCAGTGCATTATTAATTATTAGTATGATATCAATGTGGTCACTACAGTGATGTTACTCCCCATCCAACGTTTGATGTAGCCACTACCGCCGACACCCACTTTTACTGCCTTCACGAACATAATATGTCCTTTTTGGCTTTTTATCTGTGCCAAAACCTAAAAATTTCTGTGTACAGATAAAAAAAATAATGATTGATCGGTGTAATTTCTAACCTAAGTGTGCCTTCAAAAATAAATTATATATTTTCCTTTTCTTTATAATCTTTCCTCATTATCTATGATTTTGATTATATAAAATAATGTTAATGTAATAGTCGATAACATCATTAATAATAATACCGTAACTTACGGATAATAATAATAATGATAATAATAATAATAATAATAATAATAATAATAATAATAATAATGATGATAATAATAATAATAATAATAATAATAATAATAATTAATAATATTTAATAATAATAATTAATAATAATAATAAAAATAATAATAATAATAATATTAAATAATAATAATAATACCATCAATAACTTGAATCTCAATATATCAGTTATTATGATAACGTCGGTGCACTAAACTTACATTAACGTCATTCACATCCAAACAGTTGTACCTTCGATCTGAAGTAACCCCATGACATGAGGTGAAGGTCAAAAAGTCAAGAGAATACAGTGCAACAGTAGTTGGCCATTGGCTTCCTAAATTTAGGACGGTACTTAGCAGAGTGAGGTAGGTTCCACCAATCAGAGGATCACTGATCTTTATATGGAACGTCACGAAGGAACTGAACATGGCAGTAACAGTAATCTGGAATAAAATTAAGCAAATAAATAGATCTAAAAAATTTGGAAATGATCAATGTTCTAAAACGTGTTAAAACAGTTAATAGGCCTAACACTATTTAAATCAAATAATTGTTTTACCCTATCGCATCGATTAATAACTGAAATGGTAATATAATCTACGTCGTCACATTCGTCTTCGTCAACATCCTAATCACATTATCATGATCATCATGGCGGATGGGACCGGGCCAGCCCCGGGGTTCCCTTTTGGAAAGTTAAAAAAAAGATAAAGAAAGAAAGTAAGAAATAAAGAAAAAAAATGATCGCCCGCCAAAACGCCTCAGATGTTATTTTTGGGCGTCTAGAATGCAAAAATGTTGCGGGAGCTTGCCCCAGACTCCTTAGGGTAGTGTTAATTATCTTGATCGGCCCCACTTTCGCCCACCCCCACCCCCGTCGGACAGTTCTGGATCCATGACCACTGATCATAATCGTCATCCTCGCCATAATCAACGTCATTATCGTCATCATCGTCGTAGTCCTCCCAAATATCATCATCATCACCATCATCATCATCATTGTTCATTCTTATTGTTATATTTGTTACTATTATTGATATTTAATATGTTCATGGCATCTTACTAAATGTATCGTCTGGCTGAGAAACAGTGCCGTGTAGAAGTAATATGGAAATTCACCATCATTAAGCCGCACAGATGGTGCCCACCAGACGATCAACATAAATATCAAGCCAATCATCAACCTATTTAAAAAAAACAACTAAATATCGGAAGCGGTATTCGCTTTTTAATATGGACCAGTCTTAACCACGCACTATGTTATTTTATGTTTGAGCGTCAACTACTTAATTGTCAACAATTATTCCACAGTCTATTATTCGTTACTCCCGTAATTGATTCGCAAAGTGTACAATTAGAGTAAAAAGAAGCCTGAATATTTCAAATAAATTGGGAAAAAACTGTCTACAAACAGTATTTGCTCTTATGCTCTTACTCTTTTTACATTTTTAAAATGTTATTATACAAAAAATGATCCTTTGGCCACCATGGACCAATTTCAAATGCTCGACACCTCGTCAGTGCAGCATAACAATCCTGATCTTATTACATGTATGTGTTTGTGATAAACAAGAACTTGTACTTTATAAGTTTGTGGCCAATAAAGTTGATTTAATATAAATTTTAACATAAAAATAATTAAAATATATACTAGAAGGAAACCACGTAGCATAGGCCTGTGTGGAGACGGCGAAGCAAAGTGTTACTTGAAATAAAAATTGATGTAACTAACAACAGATAATCGTTTAATATGGGTAGGCCTACAGTGATGTCACAATAACGTTATAATTATATAGTACCGGTATGGCATCGACTTCAGCATTACGTCCAGTGAATTAATCGGAGTAGTGAACTTTGCAATGAGCAGAGGTAGCACGAGGGCAAACATCTGCAACGGCACTTGTAGTAATGATATGTTTTCTTTCGGCACACCTGCTTCAACTAACTTCAGGACCGATATTCCCTCAGCGGCGGCAAATCCAACCTTTTTAAAGAATATTGATAAAACAAATTATGAACATTAAAACCTTTGAATGTCATAATGAAGGCGTTTGCCCATAAGTACAACATAGATTTGGTGACACACAACGTTATACGAAACAAATTTGTAGTGGAATAAAAGTATGAAGTAAACAAATTTACATTTTTCTGTTAATTATATATACCTATGTATATAATTATATAGGCCTATATATATACAAATTTTAAAAACATTTATAATAATGTTTGTAATATAATTATAATAATTATAGTTAATGATGATAAAACGAATTTTGATGAAGATATGACGATGATGATGATGATAATGACGATGATGATGATGATAATAATGACGATGCATAATGATAATGATAATATTGATAATGATGATGACATGACAACGAGTGCGATATTGACGGCGACGACGACGGTGATGGTGATGATTGATTATATACTACGTCTTAGTCATTCATTTGATTAGGTCTTTTGGAAAATGTCTATGAGCACAAGATGCTAGGGCAGTGATAAAAATAATGATATTAGGATGAGTATATTTATGCATAATAGTCATCAGTATTGACATAATAGTCAGGTTACCTTTACTGTGATGCATAAAAATGCGTATTCTTGAATCTTTCTAAGTTTGAAAATACGTAAAAGTTGTGTGTACGTTCCTAATACGCCTTCAATTGATCCAAGTTCTCCTGATTCATTGCGCTCATGGATAAAAATCAAAACAAAAGTTGTAGTAACAACGAACACGCATCCCCAGAAAAAGAGAAGGCCTTAAAAAAATTAGAAAAAGAATTCACCCAACTAACTTTCTAAACATAGACTCATCTGTGGCACTTTGTAAGTAAAATAAAATTTAAATAGGCCTACAATGTCTAACGTCGCCTTCGAATTGATGTGAGAGCGGCAATTAATCTACATCGGTATAAATTAAAATCATTTAATAATTAATAACGTTGCTATTTTGTAATGAATGTGGGAACGGTTAGTGTAGGCTAATCAGCTCGAATCGACCAGCGAAATTACCAAAGCCACCATATCACAAGTATAATTATGTGCTCTAGCACTGTATCAAAATGTCTTCTTTTCAATGCGAGAAATGTGCAAGTAGGCCATGGGACTCAAAATGCAGGTAATATATGTTGAATTTTCGCTTGTAGTTATTTTCTTCTAATTTTATTTATAATAGTTTCTTCTTTATATCAAGACTGTTGTTAGCATGCGCATGGGTTTGTAATAATGTGGCCTCTATAAATTCAAATTCAGTAAGAGTTATCATTTATATAGGCCTATACCTGTTGAATTAGAGACTGAAAACAAATATTTACCAAAAAACTAAATAACTTAGATATAAATATAACTTAAATTTAAAGTTTCGTTTGTTTTCATCATGTCTCTCTTCTAAACGCTTTACCTGTCATTTTTTCTAAGGAAAACTCACTTTAAAGTTAGTTACTGTGATTTAGGGTGTTATTATATTTCCCATTGCAAAGTGAGTTGAACTCAGATTAAATATATAGGCCTACTGAAAAGCTATTTGAAAATGTTAAATTTTGGAACTTGAAATCTTACAAATTACAACATTGTAAAATTTCCTCGGAATTTAGAAATAAACAATAACGGAGATAAAGGAACCTACTTGATAGAGTAAGAATCCCCGTATCAGAAGGCTGCGATCGAATGTACCTATTACAGAAGTTAGCAGACTGGAGAGCTAGAAACACAGCGTTGCCTAAAAAGACGCCGGCACGTTGTCCCATAGTGTTGCACGTAGACTGGTACCCAACATTCCTCTTCGAGAGCATGGTGAGAGCCCAGCCATCAACTGCAATATCCTGAGTTGCTACTAACACCTTCAACCAGAAGAACGTGAAGGTAATAGCCATCAGGTTAGGACCAATCTTGGATTTTTTTTCTCCAAGCCAATCATCTACACTCCAGGCTATTACTAGCATCAACACGCCGATTAAATATTGAGTCGGCACTAGCCATGACTTCCGACGCCCGATGTTTGGTATATAAATGGCATCAACTACAGGTGCCCAGAGAAGTTTGACGCTAAAAGGCCAACCTATTAAACTCAGTGTAGCTAAGCCTTTGTAAGAGACGTTGTATTCTTTCAAAATAAGTGGAAGGCTCGAGCATATTCCTAAAATGATACCCTGTATAAGGTATAAGAAGAATAGGAACAAAATTTTGGGGCGATCCGCTCCCAATCCAGCACTTTTAGGTTTACTCTCAGTTTCCTTGAGTTCGCTGCCATCCCCAGGTTGCTTTGGTTTAATTCTCTCTCGTAGAGCCATCATCAGAGAAGATCACAAACCACAATCTGTAAAGGTCGAGCAAATGTGAAATGAAAAATTAGGTCTACACATTTTTATATATAAATGTACAATAATTTTCAAGACTTACTACAGTAGGGGACAACTGAGGCTGGGGGCTTGCATAATTCTATAATTGTGTATCACTAAACAGGACCATGTGTGAAACAGGTTGTTACACCTTCCAGATACTTATGTTATCCTGTATAAATATGTTAAATAAATCAACAGCAGTCGGCAGACTCTCATATCATTTTTTCCACACTCCCAGATTCCTCTTTACCGTTTAGGTCTACAATTAATACATTACCGCAAGACGACTTAGATTATATTTCTTCACATTTCCTTCTCCACACTTCCTCCTATATATATATAT